AGTGAGAGGGCTGATATCTCCCATCCGAACCATGGCTGCAGCAAAGTCAGAGAAGAAACGGGCAGGGGCGTTGGCGTAATTTCGGACCGTGGAGTCCGTAGATCCGCCGTTGAAGAGAACTTGATCGGACTGGAGCAGGCCCCTGTTCTGGAGAAGGTTCTTGAAGTAGTTGTTGTCGAAACCATTGGGAGTTTGGAGATCGAGAGGGGCCAGATTGTTGTCGCCCGACCCGGCGCTGTTCGGGCAATTCCCTTGCCTTGTGCTCGCAAATGAACTGTCGATGTTGGTTGCGTTGTATACACGAGCTCGAAATGTCGTGCACCGTGCTTGTCCAATCGTGTGCCCACCTGAAACCATTCAGGAAAAATTTATAGTAGTACGAGAGCATGAATATGTAAAACATGTTGAGGTTTTAAAGTGAGGTAGGGCCTACTGTCTAATGGCTCTTTAAGAAATAATATTTTCTTAGAGCGGAGAAAAAGGAGTAGGAACTGACGGAGTATTAAAAATTTTTGTAAGAGACAAACCAGAAAGGGCGACCAAGTCGGTGTTGGAAAGTCCAAGGGCGCTAAATCTGGAGGTGAGTTGGCTTAAACTTGAAGTTGGTCCAGGAATGTCGTTGTTGGCTTGGGATTGGCTCGCAGTTGTCGCATCTCTTCTTCCCAACTTTACGTTCCAGCTCGGTCCTCCTAGCTGTAAACATTGTACAGTATCGGTTAAATTTTTAAAGTTGTATCTATTTAATCTAAAGTTTATAATAAACGTTTCGGAGTTGTAGGAATGAGTCTATCATCCTAGTTCTGTTAACTACATAAGCTACCGTTAGATAGTTGACAATATTATAAAACGAGTTTAGGAGTATATTAAAATCATCTTCGAATGTAAACACGAGATAAATACACTCTAAAAAAAAGGTAAAGAAACTAAATAGACATGATTGGATGATTGAAATGAACAACTTACAAGAACAACGGAGTCACGAGCGGCAATGGCGAGAATATCCGCACACGAAACAACTCCGGGGCAAGCATTCTCGACAGCGGTTTTGATGTTGTCAATGACATCAAAGCCTCTAGCAGAGTTCCTGTTGGGATTTGCATTTTTCTCTCCAGTGAAGCTCGACGTGTCGTCTAATAGAATCGACCCATCGCAGCCCTGAATTCAAAAGATTTAAAAAACAAATGATTATGTTCAAGGAGACTGTCTCTTAGCGATACCTTTCATGCAGAAAAAACAGAGAGAGAACTAACATTGACAAAACAGTCATGGAAGAATAAGCGAAGAAGGGAAGCTCCCATACGAGCCTCACTGGAGACAGCAGACTGAACAGAGGATTTGACAGTGGACAATAGATTTGGACAAGAAGAAGAGTAAAAACTAGTGGAAAGTTGAGCTCTGGCATTGCCCAAAAACAGAACAACCAAACTCAGAATCAAAACTCCTCTAAATTTGGAAGCACCCATTGCTAGAACAACACAAGATCTACAACAAATCTCCAACTAGTGTTGTGTTGTTTTGATGAAGAAGAAAGAGTTACCATGTGGGGTTTATATAAAGGAAGCTTTATGGCTTCTCTTCCATCAAACAGGCTTTGGCAGGTGAACCTAACTCGTAGAAATGGAGTTGCATGGGGGAGTGTTTTTCTACGTTTCCACCCTTTGAAAAAGTAAAACATAAAATATCATTACAACAATCCTAACAAATCAAGTCACACACTCCCCTTTGACTGGACGACAAGTCGGACCACCATTAAATTCTTTACTTATGGTAAGGAGGAACGTTGAAAAGATGATAGAATAATTTTATACCGTCAACAGACGTTTCTATAATTTCTACAATGATATGATATTAACAACTTTAGTTTTAGTTGTAAACTCTCGTATATCTTATATCAATAGAGATAGAAGAGAACCCGTCTGTGAGTTTGAACAGAACGGCAGTGGCAGAAGGAGAATTTGGAAGATGAGTTTTGTCAAAGAACTCTGCGAAGTTTTATTAATGGAAATGGAGAAGTCAAAGATTGAGGTCCCATTTGTGCATGGGAATAATGTTATAAAGGGCTATGAACTTCAAAGATGCTGCTGTTGAAAATTGAAGTGTGGCCCAATTATCTTATTAGAAAGTTAAAGTGATTGATAAAGTAATTTGGAAAAGTTCCGTTTGATTTTTCTTCGGTAGAAAGCTTAGGTTATACGGGTTTTACTTTATATATACGCACGCGGTAGTTATAAAGTTATCAACTTTATGATTAAATATTCAATTTGTATCTTCCATGCGTTTCTCATCTTGTTGAAATGATTGGATAATTGCAAATGGTTCGAGATATGAACATAATCAGAATTAAGAAAACTTCAATTATACAAAGATTTATCGTAATGGTATTTGGTTGACAAGGTAACTCGTAGGATATTAAATCATGGTTTGAGCTCATTCCCTCTAAGTCCTTTACTATTAACAAAGGCCCTCATTGACCACTTGAGCCATCTCATGATGGTTTGCAGAAGGTTAATAATGTATCTGACTAATAGAGGTAGACTAAAGTCAACCATATGACTCGTTCCAATCGTGTCATAATTTCTATTCAAAATAATGATAAAAATGTCTAGTATGTAGATTTTTGGTTTGCCAACCATTGAACATCATAGAATGAGCCACTGATACAACATTGAAATAAGCATTGATAGGCCTTGGTCAATTTATTCATTATTAAGATTTAAATACTATTTCGGTGGGTATACTTTCAACTTTTGTTCATTTCATTTTAGTCATTGTACTTTTAAAAATGACTATTTCGATCTCTGTTTATAAAAAATTCAACTTGTGAACGACAGAAATAAGATAAAAATGAAAATGAAAGAACTAAAACAATCACCTTTTAAAA